CTCTTTTTTTCCCTCCCCCTTTTCTCTTTTTCCCGACGGCAGCACAATTTTACCGACAATATCCTGACAGGTGGGGGTGTCGCACCCCACACCCCCCCCCCCTTTGGCGACGCCCCTGCCCCTCTAGCGGAAAGCGCAGAAGCTTAACGTTTCATTAAATTATTAGAGAAAGAAGACGATTTGTTGTACCGGTCTCGACTTGTCAGAATTTTCAAAATTGTTTCTTTGTCTGCTCCTTTTCCGTCCTATGTCCTTTTAATGCCCCTACCGCCCTAGCTACGCATGCTTTAAAGGGAAAATGAAGCAATAATGATTGTGATAGCACCCAATTAGGTCAGTAGAAATGAAAGGGGAAAAAAAATTATTACACCAACCATGGAATAATCCCGACCCGACCGGGATAACTACCCATGTCATAGTTTTGTGTTATCGGGCGAGGGCCGGGGTCTAGCGACCAAGCGTGATTTTGCAATGTAGAATGCTGAAATTATGCATTCTAGAAAATCCCTCAGCCCAATATGTACGTTCTTTCATTTCTTTCTAGCTATATATCTAAATTTCCAGGGGGACGTGTCCCTCTATCGGGCCCAGGATCGCTGCCCCTGTCCATGATTACTACCAACATGAGTTCAAATATAAGCGCAAGCGAGTTGGTATGAGCTGAATCCGATTGAAGAGCAACATAAGAGTTGTGAAGCGGCCCTACGTTTAATTTAAAATTTGACTGTTGAGTATATAGCTTCTATTTGAAAGACATCCAAAATATTGTGCCCTTTTCAATTTTTTTTCAAAAGCAGGGGCTGTTTTTAACGTTTTACTTTGAATCCGTGGCTCGAAATTTTATGCGGCCGGCCCGGCCCCCTCTATTCAATAACGTTTCCCAAGCCTTCTGGAATGACCCCAAATCTTCCGATTACAGTTTTTCCCTTATTCGTCGTTACTGTCACTTAGCGCCATTTTCTTGTCTTTCCCCCTTTCTCACCCGACTTTTCTCCCCCCCCCCACCCACTCAGTGTTGTTTAGGGCATGTACATGTATGTTCCCTCTCTTTGAAAGCACCCCTTTATCTTCGGTGTGTAAAGTCATTGCGGGCCGGATTTTTGTGTATTACGGGCCGGACTTTGTTGTGTGAAAAGTAACCCTTTATCGGAGATTTTGGGAACACAAATTCGTTCCCTCCCACCCCGGAGTGGGAGTGAGGTGGGGGGGGGGGGGAATCTTCTTTTTCTTTTCTCCTTTTTTTTTCTCTCTCTTCTTTCTTTTCTCTTCTCCTTTCTTTTCTCTTCTCCTTTTTTCTTCTCTTCTCCTTTCTTTTTTTTCTCTTTTTTTTTTGCGCCGCCAATAGGGGGGCCGCGGCCGTTTCGGCCCCCCCCTGGATCCGCCACTGCACCACCACTACCAATCCATCACCTTCATCATCACCATCATCACTACCACCACCACCGTCACCATCATCATATATTAATCATCATCATCAACATCGATGAACATCAACATCATCATCATCATCATCATCATCAACGAGGTATATGCGTCGGAACGCCAACGGGAGGCTCAGAGGGCACCCCGCCCAAACTCCTGGCAGGCGGTATCTGAATTTCAAAAAATACGCATTTATTTTACGGGCATAGGCCTACAGCTCTTACTTATGGGTTGCTCCATACTGTATAGACGTTTTCAGGGAAACAAAGCGCAGTGTTTTTTCCAATTCATGGTGTTCCTTTATCATTTCTGCTGCCTATTTTTTTTATACACATAACCGACATTTTTGGAGTAGGCGAGATCGAATTGTGGTGTTTTCAGCGTGGTGGGAGCGGCCATATTAACATCATCATGCCATTACATAATCACCGGATGACGATACGGCTGATCGAAATCGAGCGGCAACGGGCAATATGATGCATGAAATGTAGCTGAAGTCTCATCAAAGTCTGTGGGAAATGGGACGGTTACTCCACTGAATGTGCAGTCGAGATGGAGCGGACTCCAACAACGCGAGGGCCATCGATAAGAGGCTAGTTTAAAGGTAATACAAAGTTTGGTATCGGGTCGTGAATTTAGTTCAAATGAACATATGCGATCCTACAATATTCACTGATCGTTGTCGCGGTCGAAATCGAATCTAAACTTATGAAATCATAAATAATAAACACATTATGTTGTATAGCTCCCTCTCAAGGTCAAGATGTTAATTAAGCTATAAAAAATGTGTCTCGACTAAAATCGACCGATTAGCTATTCCCGTTCGGAAATTATATACCACAACTACATATTCTGAGATTTCCATGATCGCAGCTACCATTGTACGGCCGTAGGAGCTATATAAAATTTAATAAAATTTACCGGGAGCACTGGTAAATCTTTATATTCAATTTTTCTCGAAAGCAGAAATGTTTTAGTGCTTTTGATACATCCACAGGGGCATCCAAATATATGAAAACTGTAAAGATTCACTATCCACCCATTTTTCAAAATTTCCCAAAACTTTGTAATACCTTTAACAGTGGACCTCATTGGGACCGTTATGAATCATGGCTGTAAGCTACTGGTTCAGGGTGTGGTCTCCATTGGCAGGCGCGGATCCAGGATCTTCCAATTGGGGGGGGGGGGCAGAAATTTGTAAATTGCGCAGACTGTTTTTTAAACTCAACATACCAATACTGACAAGGTCATATTAGAAGCACCATACCGGTTCAATTTTCGACATTTTCATGGGTGGGGGGGGGGGGGGCTATTGCCTCTTGCCCGAAAAAGTAATTTTCTGGTTTCACAATTCGGCTAGTGAGCGAAGCGAGCGAGCAAATATTTGAGCATAATATGTATTTTGTGAAAGTGTTATTTATCACCAAAATAAATGAGAAAAGATTAAAAAAAAAAAAAAATCATATTCGGGCAGCTCGCTGTCCCCTCCCCCCCCCCCTATATTACGCGCGAAGCGCAGAAGCTTTGATGTTTCATTAAATTATTAGAGAATGAAGAAGATTCGTTGTACCATTCTCAAATCTTAATCCTTGTCTGAATTCAGTTTCCCCCCTCCCGCGTAAAGCGCAGAAGCTTATTAACCTTTCATTAAATTATAAGAGAAAGAAGACGATTCGTTGTACCGTTCTCGACTCTTAATCCTTGTCTGAATTAAGTTTTTCCCCCTCTCGCGCGAAGCGCGGAAGCTTTGACGTTTCATTAAATTATTAGAGAAAGAAGACGATTCGTTGTATCATTCTCGTCTCTTAATCCTTGTTTGAATTCAGTTTTCCCCTCTCGCGGGAAGCGCGGAAGCTTTGACGTTTCATTAAATTATTAGAGAAAGGAGATGAATCAGATGATTCGTTGTTCCATTCTTGATTCTAATTCCTAGTCTGAATTGAGCCCCCCCACCCCCTCCTCCCGCGCGAAGCGTGGGAGCTTTGACGATTCATTAAATTATTAGAGACAGAAGACGGTTCGTTGTGCCATTCTCGACTCTCAATCCTTGTCTGAATTCATTAGCCCCCCCCCCCTCCCGAGTAAAGCGCGGAAGCTTTGACATTTCATTAAATTATTCTCGTCTTGACAAAATTTTCAAAAATGTTTCTTTGTCTGCTTCTTTTTTTTTGTCCTATGTCCTCTTACTGCCCCTACCGCCCCTGGCTACGCGCCTGCTTTAAAGGGAAAATGAAACAATCATGATTGTGATGGCACACAATTAGGTTAGTAGAAATTATATTACACAAATCATGGATAAATCACGGCTGGGAGCGTCATATCATACTTTTGTGTTATCGGGCGAGGGAAGGGGCGTAGCGACCAAGCGAGATTTACGCAATGTTGAATGCTGAAATTATGCATTCTAGAAAATCCCTAAGCCCAATATGTACGTTTTCCGCTTTATTTCTTTCTAGCTATATTTCTACATTTCCTGGGGGATGTGTCCCCCTATCGGGCCCAGGATTGCCGCACCTGTCCATGATTACTACCAACATGATATGAGTTCAAATACAAGCACAAGCGAGTTGGTATGAGCTGAATCCAAATGAAGGGCCCTACCGTTAATTTAAAATTTGACTGTTGAGTATATAGCTTCTATTTAAAAGACGTACAATATATTGTGTCCCTTTTCAAATTCCTCACTACAGAGTGATGACCTTTATAGCGCAGGGGCTGTTTTTAACGTTTAACTTTGAATCCGCAGCACGAGATTCTATGCGGCCGGCCAGCCCCTCTATTCAATAACGTTTGCCAAGCCTTCTGGAATGACCCCAAATCTCCCGATTATAGTTTTCCCTTTTTCGTCTTTACTGTCGCTTAGCACAATTTCCTAGCCTTTCCCCTTTCTCACCCGACTTTTCTCCCCCCCCCCCCCCCCCCCCCACCCACTCAGTGTTATTTAGGGTACGCGCGCATGTGTACCCTCTCTTTGAAAGCACCCCATCTATCTACGGTGTGTAAAGTCAGTACGGGCCGGATTTTTGTGTATTACGGGCCCGAAGTTTTGGGGTGAAAAGTAACCCTTTATCGGAGATTTTGGAAAAACAAACTCGGTCCCTCCGACCCAGGAGGGGGAGGGGGGAGAGGGGCTTTCTTCTTTTTCTTTTCTCCTTTTTTCTCTCTCTCTCTCTGTTTCTTTTCTCTTCTCTTTTCTTTTCTTTTCTCTTCTCCTTTCTTTTCTCTTCTCCTTTTTTCTTCTCTTTTCCTTTCTTTTTTTCTCTTCTTTTCTTCCTCTTTTTTTCCTTCTTTTTCTTTGCGCCGCCAATAGGGGGGGGGGGGGGGGTCTCGTCCGCTTGCATCAAGTACCACTGTATTATACACTGTCTTGCTGGGGGTAAGCTCATATTCTGTTTGTAAATGTATTTATAGAATATCAACGAGTATGCACTTTCCACTATACAGTTAACGTGATGGTACGTGACGATTGTTTTCATTACTCACCTAGTGGGAAAAACCCACTCATGATATTATTAAAGGGATACTATATATGGACAACCTGGTCATCCTTTTCTCAGGTTGAATCAGTTCCTACGACAGTTACTCAAACAAAAGGTATGATTCTGCGGAATAAAGCTCGAACAAACATATTTCAATTATGGTGGGACGTAATGGTCTTAATAAAGAACATTATTGGAGGGCTGAATGAATCACATGAATATTCTTTTTAAGTCTCCCTGGAATCGGACTCCGAAAAGCAATCGTGATATTCAAAAATCAAAGAGGCCTGACTTAATAAACAAAAATGGCTCATATACCTATCATGGAAATAGTATGTACATGGTTTATAATAACCAAGTTGGTAATAATAGAACGTTATAGTCCAGTAGTGCACACACACATCCTGCTTGCCAATCATACCGCAACAAAAAATTGACGTAGGCATGCTGGTATGTCAGGGCTAGTCTGAATATACAAACCGCTTTGCTTCACGACGACATCTGACCTAAGCGATTAACCTTACGAAGAATTGGAGGAAACATTGATCAAACTAACAGTTTGTATCTTTGTAAATCCTTCGTGATGTAATGAGAATCCATTTTCTCTGCATGTTCTTTATCATAAGATGACATGTTGAAAAGTTCAGTTTTGTTAATCAGGTAACGAGTTTGAATTATTAGACTGATTAAAGAGGATACTGGTGATGTTGTCAATATTAATTGGAATAGTGCAGTTGTGACAAACATCATTTAGTGTGAGATGTTGCAATGGTAGGCTATATAGACATCCACCAAATTAGCAACATATTACGCAACGCATTTTTTTTCTGGCGGATGGTAAAGTTTTGAGGTCGTAACATCATGTAGACTAGCTACTGCTATTGAATTCTGCGTCAGCTCATAACTGTTGCTCAAGAGATGAGTGTACACAGATGTATCGTTGGACTAACTATGAGCACATATTAAACAGTAAGTATGATAAGTGGTAAAGTTCACAAACCGTTACTTGTAAACAAAGATCGACTATATATCTGGATTTGATGTGCGTATATTATGCATGGCAAAGCTGATGGCCATGAACAAACAAATATTCCACATACCATGATCATGATGCTTATCCAAATATCTAACACGTATTGTAATTTATTTTTAACATTCAGATGATGTCGATTAAATTGTGAATATCAATTTTCCACATATTTAGTATGGACTTAAACTATATGCTTCAAGGAATGATAAAATTAATTCTTTTAACACATTAATTGTTGAAACCACTGCAATTTTATTTGTTTCCTTTTCTCTCATTTCAGCATTTACAGACATGCACAATTTGAAATAATACGCCAAGACACTGAATGTACGACGACATTCGGAAGTAAACCTGCTGCTGCTGCAATACCAACTTTTAGACTGGGGGAACCCGAGATATTATCGTTAATTCAAAGTGCAATCAAATGTATATAATCACTAAATCAATTTGAAATACAAAGCAAACAATTTTACGAGGCCAAAGTTTTAGTAAGTTTCCGCAATCAAACCTGTTGCCTATTTACCATGGAGGAACTTTGTCGGATCATTGCCAAGGAGTCTCAGTGTCCATCTTGTCTGAAGGAATTCCAGGAGCCAAAGGTATTGTCATGTTCTCATACGCTTTGCCTTCAGTGTGTAAAACGACTAACCATTCAAGAAGCAGAGTGTGTCTTCAAGGTCAGATGTCCAACGTGCAAGGTCGAAACTGCACTTCCAAAGGAGGGAAGCCCAGGTATTCCAACCAACGCTGCCATAGTGTCTTTGCTGTCTGCTGTCCATACCTTCAAGGTAGAACATGGTCTCGAAAAGGAAGTGGGATTGTGGAAGTTTAAGGTGAATGAAATAGACCTTCCTTCCAAGGATTGCGCAAATGGAATGGCGGCCACGCAGGACAATCGAATAGGCCTCGTTGATCGATTCGGAGGCATCCACTTGTACTCGCCAAGTGGATCCAGGGAAACGATACTCCCTGGTGTAGAGAAAATACAGGGTGTGGTTTTCTTCAAGACTGGTCGGTTCGCGGTTCTTTTTAGTGACAACAATGTTCGTCTTTACAACTCAAGTAGCCAATGTCTTGATGTTAGATTTAAGACGATGAGTATTGAAGATGGCGGCTGTAGTGTACTGACCGGGGACAACAAGGGCGATGTTTATGTTGGATACAATGGCATGGCTAACAGCAGGATCCAGATTTTCACACAAGAAGGAGGAAAACAAACGGGGGAAATACCTTGCGTTGGATTCAAAGCCAAGAAGTTGCTCGCGATGGCTTCGAAAGATTTGCTGGTAGCTGATATTTGCTACAAAAACGGAAATGTTCGCTCCTCAAAAGTTATCCTCATCGATGAGACGGGAAGAGAAATATGGTCAACAGAGAGAGAAGGTGTCCAAGTACAGATGACTAATGGTCAAGATGATACCATAATGATGTCTTGGTTAAGGTCCGAAAGTGCAAATGACATTGGACTTCTGACGATTGAACAGTATTCAAAGGACATGAAAGACATGAAGACTCTTATCTCAGATTATGAAGTTGTAACTTCTACCTGCCCATCTTACCACTTACAGCAATTCTCGTCTGGAGAGTTGGCTTTCTGTACAGCGAATAACTTGTATATACTCACAAGAATCGCATAAATTCAGTGTTAAAAATGCAGGTAAAGGATACCCACAAAACATACAATTTATAAATGAATTATTCATACTCCTTGTAAAATATTGTTTAAACTCATTTTCTGAATATTGACTTCAATTGGATTCATTGCCCTAATATGGTTGGTTTTGAATTGGTAACCCTTTTGAGGAGTTTGAAGTACATAATCAGAATAATGTTAATTACTCGTTTCGCGTTAGGATGTGGACACATTTAAAATGATTTGCATAAATGTATTTTATGCAAGACAGAATTGTATTTTAAAATTAGTGGAATGTATTGGTCGTTATATACAGTGATTTCATAGTGTGTGGCTTAGGTTCGGGTTATCTTTATTAGCACAAGATCGCAACTAAAGGGCAATTTAAATACCTCATCGTATATCACTTAGAAATCAAGTTCGGATTACGTAATATGTCATTGCAATGTTTAGGGATGGACAGGGCTATTGTATAAATTGCCTTAATTTGATATGTCAAAAGAAGTTTCGAACACCAATTTATCGCAAAGGATTGGATTTGAGCGCTTTCAATGTTATTACTCGGATATTTAAACTTTATGCTTCGTGCTTTTTCCATTTCCATAGGAGGAAGTACAGTCAAGCCAAATTTTACATTGCCTTTAGGTACCCCGGGCTGATCATATAGCATTTTTTACTTGCACGTCACTGTTTTACCGTATAAAGAAATTATACACCCTTTTGTTGTCTGCACATTCACCTGCTGTCACAACACATCCCATCCCAGTATAGCTTGGAAAAGCTGCTTCAGCCGGGAATTACCTCATCAAGTATCAAGTATCATGATGTACTGTATTATAGTAGTTGAATTTAAACGCTTGCACACATTTCTATAATCAATCGTAAGCAATCGTAATGTTCAATACACCTTTCATAACCTGAACTTAATGAGGTATTAAATGACCCATACGAATACTTTTAAGCATTAGCGCTGCCTGGGAGAGCAACATTCCAATCAAAATTAGTTGTTTACATATTGTGTGCATATTACACTGTATAAGGTATCGGCACATTTGATATTCTATCAAAAATGTTAGCCTTTAATTTGTCGGTAATTCTTGACAACCTAGAATACAAAACCTGGTTACGCAAGTCCTCATGCAACGAAAGAAATATAATGTACATGAAATTTGTTTGGTGTTTAAATTCATTAAGCATATTTTATTCTTCATGAAAAAGGAATTTTCTTTACCACCCCTCCCCCGATATTGGTATTGACTGGCATAACTGGTCACACCGTCACACAAGAATAAAGAGTTGGATACTTGGATTTGGAAATGTCTTAAACTATTTTATTGGTGAATTTTAATGTCATCTAAATGAAACCTTTTAAATCATTCATATTCTTTTATGAAAGTTACTGCATTATTTTAGGCTTTAAAAATCTATTCTAGATGTGAATATAGATAAATTAGAAATAATAGGAGTATATGTGAATTGTAATTAACTAAAGATTTTTGGCAATAAAACATTGCTTTCTTTACTGGTCTATTTACACTTATTTTCTATGTGCAATCTTGAACTAATATAAATCTTGAAAAAGTATTTTAAATGCATTTTATTTAGTGTTGTCCTTGGATGTTCGAATGTTCTTCATTGACACTATAGCAACTTAGCATTATAAATTCACCCACGTCGCCAAACATTCTATGAGACATGCTTTACGGGTCTAAGAGTCATGGTTACTGCATGTATAAGGTTATACACACCTAAAATTCTACTTTGGAACCCTTTTAGATCATACAATCTACTATCATCAACTCTCTGTCTCTGTCTGTCTATCTCCCCCTCTTTCTCTCTCTTTCTCTCTCTCTCTCCCTCTCTCTGTCAATGTAGCAATTTTCTATCAATTGTATACTCGTTTGTCTTTCTGAAAAGTCCAATTACACTCTCATGCTTACGGCAACTGCAATATCAGGACCTTTACAGTGGTGGTAGTCGGGGAGGGGGGGGGGGGGGAATAAGGGTAACAAACACCGTTGGAGACTATATTTGTCTCCGCCGGAAAACATTAAAGCATGTAATTTAATCATCCGTTCAACTCACTACCAGGGTGGGGTGTTTCACTAACAGAAACACCTCCATTTTATATTAAAGAATTCGATTACATAGGAGCAACAGCTTCAGTGGAACGAATGCCCCAAGCCTCCCGCCCATTTCCTTGTGTTACCTCTGCTCATCGGTTAAGTTCTTTTAAACACTACGTGATTTTCATACTACATGTACTCCACAGCCGTGACAATTGTCATAGTTATATAGTTATATAAAAAGCCTGGGTACATCATTAAAACTAGAAATATGAATGGAGAACTGATAATCAAATATCGAGTTCTTCGTATTATCATAACAAATTGAATATGCATATCACTCATGATCTAGCATTTTTCATCTTTCCATGGGTCATTCTCGTTTTAATATAAAAATATTGTACTTTCCGGCTTTTCTTCACATGTAGTCTTTGTTCTTTAAAAACAAATCTAAATGGCTGTGCTTTCTTTCAAAGTATATTGAGGATAAATTAAGTGAAAACAATATGGGGTATCCTGAATTGGAGTAGCACTTTATACTTATTACTAATTAAATTCCTTGTTTTTCAAAATTTGAATTAGTAAACATGCACATTTTTAAGAAGTGTAGATTTTTTGGGCCCAATAAAAAAACCCGCATCTAACACGACTTAGATAAATAATTGACTTCATAATTAGCAACAGTAGGTGGCAATGAGTTTTAATAAATACTTGTATTGACAATGGGAGTGTAACCTCGTTCGATATTCATCTATGATTAATTTCTTTCATTAGAGAAACACAATGCCAGTGCACGTTGGCAAACCCAGATACATAATTTGAAGTATTCATAACAAAGAAACATTCTAAAAAAGAAATAGGTCACACAAAATTCCTTTATGATCTTCCATTGAATTGTGAGCGCTCTGTGGGGAGGGGGGGGGGGGATACAATCTATAGCAAGTGTTTGTTTATCTGTGATTGTGTCTAGTTTTGCTGACAGGAATTATGCCTCGGAATTGTTTTCACAACAAAAAAGTAATTACCATTTTTACGAAAATACACAGCCAACCAAATGATTTTCTTCTTTATTTTAGAAATTTTGCTCATTTATATCATATTTTCAAATTAAAAAGCAATAAAACAATCTGTAAAAGTAAGCATTGATAATTGAATTGGTTTCTTACAATATTGAAAAATGATGGAAATTTTTCAACTTAGATTAAAAAAAAATGAAAACACATTCACATATAGTGCGTCCCAGAAAAAAATGCATGAAGTCTTTCGTATACGGCTGATTGTCAACGAAACGGAGTTAAGTCTTTTGTCAATTCCGTTTGTTGCTACGGCAGGCAGCCAGTGAAAACGAATTCGTTTAATCAAATTATGGAAATGCAAGCATCACTTTAAACAAACAGAACTTTGTTATTCCTTGCTCATTTTCCCTGATTGAAGTGTCATAATAAGGAAAGGGCAGAAACTGAACTTTCTAGAAATGTGAATTTTCCTACAAAATTCAGATACCGCCCGCCAAATGACTTCTTGCTTTCCTTCCTTCAAATTGCTTTTAATCACTCATGCGTGAAATATGCATCATATGAGTTGTATCAAATGAAAGAGAAGGCTACAAGCTTTACAAATATGTGTCATTTATTAATAATAATTGTGATTAAGTTATGATAAAACATCGATTTCGTTTTTCGGTTTCGTTTTTCTAGGACGCACTGTATAAAAAATAACGAGAGGGGGACATTTCCAAAACTAGTCTATACCTTTAATAGTTTGAAATCAGGAATGTATTATTATGATACTATTACACCATCACATTTATAACATTTCAATAAAAAGTTCATCTTTATTTGATTTAAATCATAAGACCGTGTTAAGGTTTATCGGAGAGCTTGGCCATTGGTGATGAAGAGGAAATCAGATATGCATGAAGGAAAAAAAAACAGAAGAAAAAACACCCCAGAACACAAGCTTTTCAATTGCAGGTCCAGGGCTTTGTTACAGGAGGGGATCCGTCAGCACACCAACTTTCAGAGATAGAACATCGTTGCTGGCCTATATAGTAGATGTCATGCCAGCGAGCAAAGTGTTACACTTTAATCTTTCAGTGATTGATAACAACAAATGAAAAAGAACATTCCTCTTCATCCTCCACGCCCTTTCAGAAAGTTTTCTTTGCATTCTATAAAAGAAATTCAGACGAACCCAATCGTAAAATAAAAGAGAAGCTACCATGTCTTCACTTTGAGAACGATAACAACAAGGTTATGGTTATGCGTCATATGCTTTCATCGTAAGTCTGTGTGTCATTATAACTTTTCATTACATTTTCCATTGTAATTCATAATCATTTATTATATCCATGATTCATATTCGTTAATTTGTATTAAATGTAAGCATTGTTTGATTTTCAGGAAGCAAACCGCCTTAAAATTCATAATATTATAGTTTACTTCATCGATTTTTTCTTCTGTTCACTGCTGAAAACAAATCCTTTCACTTTTATCATGACTTTTGGGTTACTGAATAGTAGCTTTGCTCCCGCGACAATAGACCTGTTTACCGACATATTTAAATGTATACTTTTTGAACAAAGGTTTTCTTGACAACCTTGTACCTTGTTTTCTTGTACGCATGCTTGTACGCAATTTGTTTTTATGTGTGTGTTTTGGAGGAAACCCCCCTCAAATGTATGTTGTGGTAAAGGGTGACAAAAAAGTGACCTTACCCCCCCCCCCCTCCCCCTACTGAACGAAATATCGGTCGGCATAATTTTTCAATTTCCGGGACCAAAAAAAAAATATGTGCTACAAAAATTGGGAATTTCGATACTTTACCTACAGGTTGAACTTTTATTTAAAAATTAATCGATACAAATTAAGGTATAAAGGTATTTTATTGAATGGAACAAATAAGCAGAATACTTGTACAACTTTAATAAAAATTGAAGATATGCTTTTCACAAAATTGTGTTTGCTTATTGATCATTTATTTTGTTGGACTGATAATGAATTATGGCTGTAAGGAACTGGTTCAGGATGGGGTCTCCATTGTGGGTACCACCTTTAACATAATTATTCAATCCAAACGCAGGTCAAACCCACACAAGTTTATAGTTGCAAGCTATTATACTGGAACATAAATGGCTTGATATCGATCGGGTATGGATCGACCTTCCTTATAGTCTGCTTGCATCAAGTTCAACAAGTATTATACACTGTCTTGCTGGGGGGTAAACTCATATTCTGTTTGAAATGTATTTATAGAATGACAACGAGTATACGCACTCTCCCCTATGCAGTTAACGTGATGGTACGTGACGATTGTTTTCATTACTCACCTGGTGGGGAAAACCCACTCATGATATGATTAAAAGGTTACTATGGACAACCTGGTCATCCTTTTCTGAGGTTGAATCAGTTCCTATGACAGTTACTCAAACAAAAGGTATGATTCTACGGAATAAAGCTTGAACAAGCATGGACATAGTGGTCATAATAAAGAACATTATTGGAGGACTGAATGAATACATGACATTCGTTCTAAGTGGTGTATTCCTGGAATCGACTCCTTTATCATAAGATGACATTTTTGAAGTACAGTTTTGTTAATCAAGTATCGAGCTTGAGTAAGTATGACGAAGGGTATTGTTTACGAACCGTTACTTGTAAACAAAGATCGACTATATAGCTGGATTTGATGTGCGTATATTATGCATGGCAAAGCTGATGGCCATGAACAATACAAAATACCTTTACAAAAATATTCCACAGACCATGATCATGATGGTTATCCAGAATATGTCTGGCACGAATTGTAATTTATGATTTTTAATATTCAGATGATGTCAGTTAAAATTGTGGATATTGATTTTCCGCATATTTAGTATTAACAAAACAATAGGCTTCAAGGCTAGATTTAATTTAATTGTTTAACACAATCATTGTGGATACCGCTGCAATTTATTAAGTTCTCTTTTCTCTCATTTCAGCATTTGCAGACATGCACAATTTGAAATAATACGCCAAGACACTGAATGAACGACGAAATTCGAGAGTAAACCTGCTACTGTTGCAATACCAACTTTTAGGCAGGGGAAACCTGGGACATTATCGTTAATTAAAAGTAAAATTAAATGTATATAATTACTAAATCAATTTAAAATACAAAGCAAATATTTTTACGAGGCCAAAGTTTTAATTCTGGATCAAAAGTTCCCGCCATCAAGACTGTTGCCTATTTACCATGGAGGAACTTTGTCGGATCATTGCCAAGGAGTTTCAGTGTCCATCTTGTCTGAAGGAATTCCAGGAGCCAAAGGTATTGTCATGTTCTCATACGCTTTGCCTTCAGTGTGTAAAACGACTAACCATTCAAGAAGCAGAGTGTGTCTTCAAGGTCAGATGTCCAACGTGCAAGGTCGAAACTGCACTTCCAAAGGAGGGAAGCCCAGGTATTCCAACCAACGCTGCCATAGTGTCTTTGCTGTCTGCTGTCCATACCTTCAAGGTAGAACATGGTCTCGAAAAGGAAGTGGGATTGTGGAAGTTTAAGGTGAATGAAATAGACCTTCCTTCCAAGGATTGCGCAAATGGAATGGCGGCCACGCAGGACAATCGAATAGGCCTCGTTGATCGATTCGGAGGCATCCACTTGTACTCGCCAAGTGGATCCAGGGAAACGATACTCCCTGGTGTAGAGAAAATACAGGGGGTGGTTTTCTTCAAGACTGGTCGGTTCGCGGTTCTTTTTAGTGACAACAATGTCCGTCTTTACAACTCAAGTAGCCAATGTCTTGATGTTAGATTTAAGACGATGAGTATTGAAGATGGCGGCTGTACTGTACTAACCGGGGACAACAAGGGCAATGTTTATGTTGGATACCATGGCATGGCTAACAGCAGGATCCAG